TTACCAAGTTTTTAAAAAGCTCAATAATCAAGGAGGTACATTTTAAATGGGTTGAGTATTCAAACTTAAACTAATTGTTATAGCCCTAAATTCAACAGTGAGCAGACACTTGACTTTGCAGTCAAGTCAAACAAATTGACACAACATGAAAACATAGCAAGGTTTTTTTTTTAAGGCAACACAGTATGCATGCATGAAGACGTACCCTTCAGAGAGCACCATGGTCCACTTCTCTCGTGTATGTACACTAAAGTTCTGTTGCCTGTAATGTTGCTCCTGCTTTAGATGTCCCCCTTGCTTCTCAACAGGCCTACCACCACAACAAAAGCAGTGCAGTGAGGCGAGAGTGGCTTGTTGAAATTAGAAACTGTCAGGCTCCAGCTTGCGCTGTCTATCTTTAACTTCAAATGAGCGAAGCTCACATTCTTGCCCAACTCAGCCAGCTCCCTTAGCTCCAGCCTCAGTTGCTATGTCTCTCGGAGCTCCACTGGCGCCTCTCTCTTTACACCATCATAACGTATGGACATAACGAAATAAAGACGTTACAATCTAAAAGCTTGCTAAGGATCGCTGTAATTTATGGCCTATAAGGTTACAGGGGTGGTGACCACTACTCTAAAGGGTGCAAGTGGGAAAGTCCTCAATTAATGGAGCTCAAAGTTTAAAAAATTACTGGTGTGCATAAAGTGTTTCATACTCACTGACATCCTCAATATAAATTAAACATTATTACCAAGACCTACTTGATGAAAAACATGATGAATAGTGGGACTCCTCCTAAAAAAGCATTTGACAGAAAAAAATGTAAATATTAGAGTTTTGCACAAAGGTTTCTGTTTTCATGCTGATGTAATTGGTTGGGCACAAGCACATTTTTCTCCAGTTGCTATTCTGGTGGTCAGAAATAATAGCACCTACATTGACGCATTGCAACATCAACCATGACATTCAAAATCTGCCAGTGCAATGCTATTTTCGAATTCACTTTTGGTCCTTTTAGCACAAATTCAAATGTAAAATGGTATTTTGGTGCAAATGTCTAAGCCTTTTTTTTTAAATGCAGTTTTGTGGCTGTACCCTATTTATATCACCCATTTCATATAAAGAGACAATTTTACCCAGTCACACCATTTACTGAATCATTTTAGTTATAATAAATAAAAATAACTCAAATGCAAATGTGAATGACACAGCTAATGTGTATTTACGCATGCAATATCATTTAGGAGTACTTACTGTGATTATTATTAGTAAATAATTTACTGAATATTTGTCTATTTTATCATATTGTATTTTGCCAGCATTTGATCAACTCCCTAATGACCTAGTATTTCAGAGGATTCAGTGACATTCAGAAGAAAACTGTACAGAGGACAAAACGTGTTGGCTTTGGAACCTTTTTGTTTACAACAGGGCACTGAGAGGTCTATTGCTAGCCAATGTATAAAGGCCTCTGCTTCCACTGTTTACAGTGCCAGTCAAATGTAGCAGTGCTTCCAAATGTCCCATTTCTTCAAGTTTCTGACTTTTGGCATTTAGAATTCCATCTGTATTTGCTGGGGGCAACATACCTCCACTCATGTTCTTCTGCTTTTTAGCAAATCATAAAGTTTACCTTAAAACCAAGAACGCAAATGTTTTAGATACTCTCAGTTTTACATACACATCTATCTGTCTACAGGGCACCTGTATTCACTTACCATAGCTAATGGGGAAATGTACTGCCATGTTCCCTTTTTAAAGGCCTGCAGAATCTTAGGGAATTGCCCTAAATAAAAGCATCACAATTCACATGTACTCAGGGCAGCAGCTGCTAGTAAAATTCAGGTTGCGATGGAACTTCAATCGGTCATCACAAACTGCAAGTAATCTGGAAAGCCCAGTTAGTTTATGACGCATTTATACAACTGTTTTCCAGGAAAGTTTTTTTGAAAATTAGCTCAAGAAATATCCAAGAAATTACTGTTTACACGCTGATGTCACAAATTTTCCTTTTGTTTATCTTCTAGTGGATGAGATGTTCTGTGAATTATTTAGACAAAAGTTGTTTACAAAGTTGACTTATGTATATCGTTTTCCTTTCAAGAGCTAGGCTAATGTTTATAGATTTAAAACACTGAGATTCAGATATAATAAATTTTTGTTATTCCACCCACCACAGCTTTCCCACATTGTAACCCCACACTTCTGTGTTGAAAAGTGTATCTTGGCCATGTTTGTACTTTCAAGCCTTTATACTAAACTTGAACAAATGCATTTCTTATTTTGTCACAGATAAGGTGGGAATTCCTGGAAGGGGATTTTTTTTTAAACAGTCATTCACAGTGTTTTGATGTGAAATGGTGCATTGTGGAAAAAGCAGTGGTCGCAAAGTCCACAATACAAATATAGCCAGTATTGTGAATATCCAAAACAACCAGTGTCAAGTGGATTTTTATATTTAAACTTGATACTGGTAAAATAATGTAAATCTGGAAAAACACAAGCTTGCTTTGGGTACTATTTTGCGATACAACCCCCTTCATGTACCTCAATGCCATGAAAATGTTCACAATTGTATGTTGTGGGCCAAATCCTACACCGAAACTACTGCAAAATAATGTCTCAGGCATCAGGCTGTGTATTTGCAACTATTTCATTAAAATAACTTTGTGAGGTAGCTTTTGGAGGCTTCAGACATCTGGTTCCTGTCACCATCATCCACCATTGAGAACAATTCTGATTCTAAGTTTCTCTAGAGTTCTGCATTTCATATCAAACCAATCTGACAGACATCTTAATATACACTCACCAAGCACTTTATTAGAAACATTACACTAGTATTGGGTAGGGCCTCTCTTAGTTCTCAAAACAGCCTCAATTCTTCATGGCATGGATTATACAAGATGTTGTAAACATTTCTTTGAGATTCTGGTCCACGTTAAAAGGACTGTAATCCCTGCAGGTTTTTTAGGTGCACTTTCATGGTGCGAATCTCCTGTTCTACCAAATCTCAAAAGTGTTCTATTGGATTCAGAACCAGTGACTGGGAAGGTCACTGAAGAACACTGAACTCACTGTCATGTTCTGCAAAACAATGAGACTACTTTTGCTTTGTGACATGGTGCGTTATCATGCTGGAATTAGAAGATGGGTAAACTGTGGTAAATTGTGGTCATGAAAGTCAGCAACAATACAACAATACACAAACAGGCTGTGGCATTTAAGCGATGATTGGAATTCATGGCGCCAAAGTGTGCCACGAAAACATTCCTCACACCATTACACCACCTCTACCAACCTGGACTGTTGACACAAAGCAGGTCGGGCCCAAGAATTCATGCTGTTAACACCAAATCTGACCCTAACATCTTTCTGCTGAGGAATACAGCGAAATTCATCAGACCAGGCTATGATTTTCCAGTCTTCAACTGTCCAGTTTTGGTGAGACTGAGCCTACTGTCCCCCCAGCTTTCTGTTCTTGGTTGACAGAATTGGAACCTGACGTGGCCTTCTGCTGTTGTAGCCTATCTGCCTCAACATGTGCATTCTGAGATGCTTTTCTGCTCACCACAATTACAAAAAGTGGCTTTTCTCGGTTTACCTTTCTCATCGACAAGGCATTTCTGTCCGCAGAACTGGCATTCACAAGATGTTTTCTACGTTATTGCACAATTCTGAGAAAATTTTAGAGATTACTGTGCAGGAAAATCCCAGCTCAGCAGTTATATCCAGAAACCAACCCGTCTGGCACCAACCATCATGCCACAGTCAAAATCAGTGAGATCACTGATGTAAACATTACCTGAAGTCACTGGCCCACATCTGCATGATTTTATGCACTACACTGTTGTCATACAATTGGCTGATTAGATAACTGCATGAATGAGTAGGTGTACAGGTGTTCCTAACAAAGTGCTTAGTGAGTGTATATATAAAAAGACACATGTAGGAACACTGGTCATTTTGCATGGTAAATAACACTAACTTGACCTAGATTTGATTTGTAGACATCACAGCCACTAATTCCAAGCAGTGCTACTGTAAAGAATATCCAAATCAGTATTAATATGCAAGCATATACCATAATAAATCATCCATTTTGTTTTGTGATAGTGTGTTACTGCAACCAACATGTTCAGGTGTTTTAATAAAGTGCTAGGTTTGTGTTTATATTGTCAGTGAATTATGAAATCCAGCAATTCCACAGATGTATCTATCACCACACCCCCTGCAACTAATTCAAATGTTTCTTGTTACAAAGACCATTACTCATCAAATGAGCACTCAAATGAATAACAGGTATTCGCTTTGTGTGGGCTGTCAGCACACTGACCAAACTTAGATGTTGTGAGCTGCTGATGGCTGGCCTGACAAATCTGACAAATCAGGGTTCATGCAATCTGACAGTAGATGTTTCTGTGGGGTGTGCTGTGACTGTAACAAAGGAAAGGCAATACTGTAAAACCTGAAGTTGGCTTGTCTCAAACTGGTTTGTTTTCACTCATGTCTTGATTTACTCATGCTTTATACTGGTATAGAATATATTTGTGATCCATAAATTCTGTTGGTTAGGTTACGTGAGCAGTAGGCGTTCATGATCAGTTATCATTTTGGCAAAATTGTGCAACAGAACTCCACAGTAACATTAACCAAGCAATTTAAAGCATCAGACAGATCTGAAGTCCACTGCAAACAATGTAACAACGATAATACAGCACATAAAAAAAAACAGCATGTGACGTAAAACTGTCACGCTGACTACGTTTCTAAAGCCCTATTTTGTATTTTACTATTTTATTCGGCCCTGGAGATGCTCTTTTCTTCTTTTGCCACATGAAAAAACTGCAGAAAATGTTTTGTTTTTACATTGCTAGCTCCGTCAGTTTATGTACAAAAGCTAAAACAATTCAGACAGTGAAAGTATGTTCCAGTTTCATTGTCAGATGTTTCATTGTCGGGCTTTGCTAGCACAGTGATAGCATAGCTAGGATCCAGCTTGCAGTGCACTTGCTACTCACCAGGCTTCCACGGCATCATCGCGAAAATTGTTTGCAGCTGAAACTGTGGTGTCCCCCTTGTCTGCCTGCACAATAACAATACATGTTATTGATATCAAACTACAGTGTCGCTGGTTTTGACCATATAGCAGCTGTAAGTACGAACTACAACCGAATTCAGTTCGGCTCTCGTCTTGCCTGCTACAGCAAGGTCTGTTTCAATGACGTAATGCGGAATCTTTCCACGGGGCTGCGCACAAGCTTTGTTTATACAAAAAGGCTCATTTAGTGCGATTAAAAAGATATTTATATCTAATATAACGTTTGATAGACACGATTTATTCATTGTCAGACACGTTTCTGAAATTATTCCTACTCCTACCTGAGCTAAGATATGTCTATCAAAGTGCGCTTGTGAGTAATTAAAACAGTTCTGCGCAGTTTTGTGCTACCTTCAAAGAAAATGAACAGCAAACGTTTTGCGCAGTGCGGCGCAGACTACTTTGTCAAATTTGGCTTTGATTTAAAGCACATTTGCAAAAGTTTTGAGAGGGAGTTGTTTACTTGTGTTTCACTTTTCACTTACGTCCTCGCATCCCACAGCATGTAATGTTATCTGTACACAACGCTTTACTGGGTTTGTTTGCTTGTTGCTTAGGAACCGTTCCACAACTAACGCTAGCAAACTTAGTCAGACAGAAATGGAAGATATAACTTACATCACCTAGATATGGTTGGATATTTATTGTTAACGTTAGCTAAGACTAACCTCGCTCTTCAGAGTAAGTGAGATAGCCGTCTATCACAAAGAAGAGACACTAGAATGAAAATTCTGTAAATGTTACAGAAAAGGTTGGCCATCCGGCGCTCTGGGTTTGGACACATACAGGTGAGGTCTCTAGCTAGCTCGCTATGACTAACTTGAATCCCGCTCTTACTAATTTAATAAAACCTCTGACAACAAGGAAAATGTGTGAAAAATTCCTTAAGTTGTTTTTAAGTTGCAAAAAGAAGCACAAGCTCAAACGTTCAGTTTATTTACTCTCTTTTCTTTTTCAGCTTAACTAGTGTAGTTTTCAACAGCATAGTACCACGAAAAATATGGTTAGCTAATTGGTTTTAAACGCCAAGCAAAATTATTTATCCACTAAGCAGTTCACGAAACCGATTCTTTCCAAATGTCCGTGTTAATGGATCGAACGTCTGATTCAATGAATCATTACAGAGAGAACCTGTAAGCGAATTCAAAGTTACTCTTAATGTTACAAGGTGGCATTTTATGATATTATTTTATGAAATTAGGTTGTGCAAAAAGAATTCGAATTTTAGTAGTAGTAGTAGTCTTCCGTTATGTTTATAACGGAAATAAAAGTGTATAAGCTACAAAATAGTCTGATTCAGTTGTGCGTCTGAATCCGTTTGACCGATTTATGAAAAGAACCGATTCAAAACTATTCGTTCTAGAGTTCTCATCAATACCACATACAGCCTGCTAGCAAAATATCTCTTATTAAGTTATTTTATCGAAAGAGTTCTGTTAATAAAGATCTTACTTTGTGTCAGCAACACTTGATTCCTGACCGCAGTGGCCGTTTAAAGAAATAATCCATCTGTTCCTAGAAAAAGTGCTAGTTTACATTTTCAAAAAAACATATGCCCACTGTCTCTCTATGGACAGTACTGTTTTAGCTGTGGTCTATTATGTAATGCAAATTAAATATATATTTAAAAAAAAGCTTAAAAATAGTGAAACATTAGTGAGAGTCAGCATGCTCATTAGTTATTCTGCTAGCAAACCAGCTACTCAGCTGTCTTTTGGTTTAAAATTATTTTTTTGGTGGCGTTTCCCCCTATGTACGCTGCTCCATCCTGGTGTGCAGAAGACAGTGAGTTCATTTACTCAGGCATTTTGCTGTGGGGCTGTTAAACATTCCATATGCAGTATTATTGTGTTTCTTCAACTTCAAGACATTCAAGTAGACGTCACAGTTTAGAAGAAATAGTAGCCAATATACTGTTGCTGGACACTTCTACATATGACAAACAAGCTGTCCATATATATTTATATTGTGATAACAACGAAATATAAGTAATAGACACAAAAGTCTGAACGACAATGTTTGTTATAAGGTGTTGTTCAATGAATGGTAAGTTAGGTGTAGGGGTAGTACATATGTAGTCTAATGGTGTCTTAAATAGAATGACACTCAGTTTCTCAGTTTGTCAATAATAGGGACATATTTTTGTGAAGTGGTAAGGTTACTAATTTTATTCTGTAAAGTGGTCAGATCACTAAAGTGGATTTATTAAATAATAAACAATGAAGACGACATGTAAGATGTAAAGCTAATAACAGAAGAGAGCAACAGTTTGCTAATTTGACAAGCATATGATACTAAGGAAATATTATGCATAAAGCAGTCACTTGCAGACATGATTTTTTTTTAGCTACGTCAGTAGTGTCCTTAGAACAAAAGATTTCTAATCAGGATGTTCAAAAGGTCCAAATTTTATCATTATGGAAATTGTAAAGTGTTTTGAACACACTTGTTTCTCAGTGTGCTTTTGTCAGAGTCTGGGTTGAAGATATTCAAGATAGATATATATAAGAAGATATTCAAGAAGATATATATAAGTAATTACCAATTAATTTTCAGCCTCATTCAGTCTTATGATGTGGTAAAGAAAAAAACTAGCTTTGCCTGTAGGTTCATACATTCTTATTTCCAGTTTTCAATTTTGATGCCAAACTTTACCTTCCCACTATGGTGTGGTGTTGAGTTCCTGGGTGTTATCAGAGATTTCCACCAAATGCCTCTCTGCTATGAGGAATTATACAGCAGCGGTGGATAAATTCAGAATAATCCCAGCTTGTTGTTGCTATTTTCAGCCAAAGCCCCTTCCAAGCCCCTATATAAAAATGCTCAAAAAATGGTGGTTGTTGTTTTTACTAGGCCAGAAAAAATAGTAAAGTTATAGCAGCAAAATAAAGCAAAAGCTGACACTAGAACAATAAGCATGTACTTTGAAATACTTTGTCCGGTCGCAGAATGCGTTAGAAGATGTTTAAAACCTATTTTTTATTGATGGAATTGCTCTATAAATATTGTTTTTACAACCCCATTTCCAAAAAAGTTGGGACACTGTGCAGAATGTAAATAAAAATAAAATGCAATGATATGCAAATCATGTAAATCATATTGTAAAGGAAATACTACAAAGACAACATATCAAATGTTGGAACTGAGAAATTTTATTGTTTTTTGAAAAATATATGCCCATCACCTCATCTTTTAATAAACTCTGTAAACATTTGGGAACTCAAGAGACCAACTGCTGTAGTTTTGAAAGTGAAATGTTTTCCCATTCTTGTTTGATATAGGATTTCAGCTGCTCAACAGTTTGGGGTCTCCTTTGTCATAATTTTTATTTTATAATGTGCCAAATGTTTTCAGAGGGTGACAGGTCTGGACTGCAGGCAGGCCAGTTTAGCGCTAAGACTCTTTTAATATGGAGCCATGCTGTTGTAATATGTGCAGAATGTGACATTGTCTTGCCGAAATAAGCATGGCCTTCCCTGAAAGATGTTGTCTGGATGACAGCATATGTTGCCAAAACATGTATATACTGTTCAGCATTAATGGTGCCTTCACAGATGTGCATGTCACCCATGCAATGTGCACTAAAGCACCCCTATACCATCATGAATACTGACTTTTGAACTGTGCACTGATAACAAGCTGAGTGGTCTTTAGCTTGGAGGACACAGCGCCCATGATTTCCAAAAAGAATTTCAAATGTTGATTCATTGGACCACAGGACACTTTTCCATTTCCCCTCAGTCCATTTTAAATGAGCTCAGGCCCAGAGAAGGTGGCAGCTTTTCTGGATCCTGTTTATATCTGGATCCAGTTTCGTCATTGTGTTCTAGTGTTCTAGTGTTTTAACTTGCATTTGTGGATGCAGTGACGAACTGTTTTCACAGACACTGTTTGTCAGAAGTGTTTCTGAGCCCATGCAGTGATGTACACTACAGTATTATGTCTGTTTTTAATGCAGTGCTGTCTGAGGGCCCAAAGATCATGGCCAGTAAATGCAGATTTTTGGCCTTGTCCCTTGCATACAGAGATTTCTCCAGATTCTCTGAATCTTTTAATGTTAATATGTACCGTAGATGATGAAAAGCAAAAATTCTTTGCTACTTTATGTTGAGAAATGTTATTTTTGAATTGTTGCACTATTTGCTGGCGCAGTCTTTCAGAGTTGTGAACCCCTCTCTGTCTTTACTTCTGAAAGACTCTTTGGGATGCTCTTTTACACCCAATCATGTTACTGACCTGTTGCCAGTTAACCACCAGGTGTTTTTTTTAGCAACTTTACCATTAGCAACTTTTTTGGAATGTGTTGTTGGCATCAAATTCAAAATGGGCATATTTTTTTCAAAAAACAATACAATTTCTCAGTTTCAACATTTGATATGTTGTCTTTGTACTATTTTCAATGAAGTACAGGGTTTAAGTGATTTGCATTGCATTTTGTTTTTGTTTACATTTGCACAGCGTCCTAACTTGGCTTTATTCAAAAATATTGTACTTTTGTTATGTTGAATGCTATAATTAAGAAAAAAATGGAAATATTAGCATATTCTCAGGCACATCTTTTTTTTCATTTTTTGCTGTATCAAAAATTGTATTGATTTGAAACACCAATGCTTCTTATCGAACTGAATTTTTGAAGACCTGCCTTCATAGGCAGGTAGCCTTCAGATAATGATGCAGAGTTAATGGTACAATGCAGAATAAATAGGACAAAGGTAAACAGACCACACTTTATTATTATTTTTTTTTTTTGGACCATTCTGTTTATCGGGAAAGGAGGAAGGAAAAGGTTTACAAAGCTGAAACAAGATACATGCGTAGATTTTGTTCGGTTATTCCCGACAATTAACCAAATAAGCCATCCCAAATCTCCCAATCCAACTAAACCCATACAACCCACCCACCCACTTCCACCCCGCCATCTGTGTCGCCACACCAGACTGATTGAGTACCAAATAAATAAATAAATGGAAAAATACACATACACGTACACATACCCACATGTATACCTACATACATATATACAGTCGTGAATAAATTAGGACACCCTATGAAAGCCTGTGTGTTTTTTTACATATTTGGACATGTGAAAATAAAATATCAATTTTAACAATACTGAAAGATTTAAGTAATATGA